ATATACGTCATGTAAAATTGGATTTGAAATCTTTGACAAGTTAATGACGGTAGGTGAAAAAAAAAAGTAATTCAGAGTTATTCACATAACCAGTTTCTTTAGTTTTATGGAAAACCCAACATGAATTGATTGTAATTATTGTCTCACTGTTTGTAAAAATGTTATTGCAAGTAAGACTCTCATAAAACTGAAAAGAATTTAATAGCAATATTGCTATAAACTTTACCAAGAAATAAGTTCCGTTAAAATAAAGAAAACAATTGAAGGGATGGACCTAAAACATTATATAATGCATAATCTTATTTAAAATCTATGGAGTGATGTTGAATTTGGAAGGGCAGTAGACTATTTCTAAGCGAATTTTAGTATATTTTTTCCATAAAAATGCATATGCAAAATGACAATGTTAGGAACAGCGTCATCAACAGCCTTGATCAAAGTCTAGGAGCTAATTATTTTGTTCCAATTTCTCATTCATTTCAGTTTTTACACAAATATCTCTATCCTGTCTTTACATATCTTTTAAACTATAATTTATACTATATCTCTTTTATGGTTCGCCACTGACAAAGGTCATAACGGTGTAACGGTTTTGGAGGTCGTGGACTATGAATTTCTAATTCTTAGGAAAACATTCGGTGCAGTCTGTAACAAGACAAGGCGAAGAAGCTACAATCGAACAACGTATTAAAAAAATACAAGGAAACAGTGCGAGAAAGGTATACTGTTACTGTTACAGAAGTTTATTTCCAGAAGGTACAAGTGGAAAAGAGGATCAATGATGCTACTGGCAGATGCAATAAATGAAGACAAAATAAATATTCGAGCAGCGGGTTAGTAGAAGCTGAAGAGGAACAGAGATAAATACGAAACAAAACTTAAGGAAGTTGGGACAGTTTAAGGATGTAGAACTGGTGATGATGAACTCTGCAGTTTACAAAAAGTATTCAAAAAATAAGTATTAACAAGGAATGGTCTGTTTTAAATTGTAAAAGAAGTTCCATATTCGATTCTCCACAGCTTGGAGCTTCTGGCCTTTCCACCACGAAGGGTGCCACATCTTTGTATATTACTATAATCACTCAAAATAACGAAACTTTCAGTTTTATTGATTTATATTTAGTTATTTTTACGTTATTTGGTAATATACTTAATCATATTTTTGATTTATCTTGACGAAAGGAATTACTGCTAAAAATCTCAAACTCTGTGACAACATCGTTGCTACACCCTGTAGCTATTTAAATAGGAACCTCACGGATTTAAAAGTAGAGGTCGAGTTTCAATTAAGAGCATAGATATCTTGATGTTTTATTCAATACATTAAGTGACGCCCTAAGTACCCTTGGGGTTTTAAGAGGGACTATCGAATGGCGAGGGTGTCCCGGCTCGTTATCGCTCTAAATAATAAATGGCACACATCGGGGTGCAACGCGCTTTAACCGCGACCGTCGCCGTGGCCAGCCTCAGACATTAACTTATCATCAGCTGCTCTTTGAGTCCACGTGCGAAGGCGGACTTCGGTGATTTGATTTCAAATAGGCTGGCTGTGAAGGAAATAGTCGACACAAGGACTATTTTTAGAAAAGGATATTACAAAATTATAGCAAGATCGATGTTGCTGCCTGAAAGTTAATATTTTTTATAATTTTTTCATTTTTACTTTGTTTAATTTTTTCTCACCAGCTGACTTAAAATCCAAACTAGTTCTGAAATAAACTAATTAGAGTTTATCTACGGAATTTGCTCTACTTTAAATGCACATAGTACCATTACTTAACTTCGTTTCGGAGAGTAATAGAAATTCATTATAGATGCAAATCCGTTAAGAGCATAGTAAATCTGTTTATGTATGTTTAATTTCATATAATCTATAACATATTTTATTTGAGTTGCCAACAACTTGGTAAACTGTCGAAGACTGATTTTCGAAATATCAACAACTTTTTAAAATGTGAGTTTTTTGTATTTTGTATATGTCTGGATTTTTTAGTGAGATTTTTGGTTAAATAAGACCATTTTTAAAAATAATGCCTAGTTAGTCTAGGAGCCAGATAGGGTACCGTGGCCAATTAGAGTGCCACGGCTGCAAACAACTTAATCCCAAGTATTTTGACCTCCTGAATCCAAAGAACTTGGTCGCAAAGCCTGAAAGTGGTCAGATTAATTGTTATTAACAAATTAAATGTTTAAATGGCTGTAAAAAGTTTATTGTTATAACCAGTACAATTTTTTATGCGTTAATACTTACGTTTTCTCATAACAAACATATACTTTTTTGAAAATTAAAAAAATATTAACTTTAGCCAAAGTTATTGCAAATTTAGTGCAAATATCTTACATTTTCCGTCTCCGCGCGCACCAATTTTACCATATCTCTGGTTCTA